ATACATATATACATATATACATATATACATATATACATATATACATATATACATATATACATATATACATATACATACATACATACATACATATATATACATATATACATATATATATGTGTGTGTGTGTGTGTGTGTGTGTGTTATATATAAAGAAAAAATATAGTGTGCAGTCTGAAATGATTTCCACCTTGCTCCTCTAAAGGCTCTACTTGTAAGGATGTTCTTCACTGATATGAATATCCTATTTATTTCACTAAAACTTGTTATACTGATATTTTGGCCCTTTATTATTCTCCCACTGCCAAAGAATGGATACAAATCATTATAACTAGTTTTGAAGAGTTGCGTGCATGCTATTTCAACTATTGCCATTGATACTATTAACATTGAATGTTATTTGATTTGCTGAGTGCCATCATTTAATATCTGAATGCTTTTTCACTACTCAAAGTGACATATATGTCACTTTCCTTCACCTAAATACAGCAGACTTGTTTGCATCTGTATTATGTTTATAATAAATCTCTTTTGGAACATATGGAAAAATAAATAAAAAAGAGCCTTTGAATGTAATACAGACCCAGTGTGTAATAGGTAACCAGTAGATTCTTGTAAGCTACTTTGAACATTGGAATATAGAAATTTATATAAACCATAAATCAATAATAACTCAAAGAAATAAATGTACTAGCAATATACAGTCTATTTATTTATATTCATGCTTTAATTTTAATAAATTGATTGTGATATATGTTTGAAAGGGAATTGATATGCAATAGTTTTTTACTTATATCTAAGAGTTTAATAATATATGTATCAGCGAAAAATGGTTTATTCTATGATAATTTATATTTACAGTTGTCCAAATGCACAAATATATTGTACATTCTGCTGTGAGTAAAAAAAACATCAGTTTAATTGATATACCTTTATATCTAAGAATTGGTGTAGAATTCTAATTATAGAAAGCCACATCATATTGTGTAGGTAGACAAGGATCTACAATATCGGAAACTAGGAATTGTCCATGATCTTGTGCTAAGGTTCAAAGGTGACAAACATGAAAACATACTCTTTACTTTGGAGACATATATAGGATTTTGACAAACTAAACCCAAACTGAACCCAAGATCAGTCAAATGTATATAAGCTGAACAATAGATATATTGATCTACATTTAAATCTGGAAACCAGTATCATTCTGATATGCCACTTTTTGTAATGCCACAATTTATGTAATGCATGCACAGATGAATTTAATAGATGGTGATGCTCACATATAGCTCCATATTTGAAATGGAATCATCAGGGCTGATTTATGTTATTTCATAGCACACATGTTTTTACTCCTCTGCAAACTACCCTTATTGGCCTAAAATGATCTTATAGACTTCATTTTTCCTTATAAGAAGTAAGCATTTGTGAGTCTCTTTAGAAGTTTTCACAGCCCTACTTCCACATCCATCATACACACACCCATAGCTAATGTTCACAATTATATACAGTATGGACAAATCTCTGAAGAAGAAAAAGATATGTATTCAGGGCAAAAGACACAAATATTTTATTCTACCAAATTACTGTGGTAAATCATTGCATGTATATCTGTGTGTTCAGAGTGAGTGGGCAGAGATTTTTCTTAAACCCTCTTATATATCTTTCACAAGCACTGTATTTGCATGAGGTGACATCATGCTATTTGTTGAACTTCATATTTTGCTGACTTCTTCAATAAGATGTCAATATATAAGCAAAACTATAAGATTATATTATTCTATCAAGATGGACTTTAGAATCCCATAAGATTAGATCTGGTTTAGAAATTAGTAGTCACCATATAGTCCAGTTTGAACCCAGTTCAGCATTATGGATCCAACATTACTTGTTTATCCCCTTCTTTCCCTAGTTTGGAAAAGTGACAAACAAGGGTAGAAACTTTTTGCATGCATAGTACTGTATATATGCAATATTCAAACGTTATACATCTCATAAAGCTTTACTTTGTGATACATACAAATTGGTTGGAAGCACATATAGAAAATATTTCTAGTTTACAACAGAAATTATATAACTATTAAAGTGAAAAGGATTGTCCAAGTTATTCCTGTCTCCATATATAATTGTACTGTAGTACTTATTTATATATTACAAGAACAGAACAGAAGAAAAAAAATGCTCAGATCTAGTACAGATCCATATATTAATTACAAGCAAAATGTATTTTGTGATGTTTTCTGAAAATAAGGGCCTATAGAAAATGCATGTGAAGAAATATGAGAAATTGAAATAAAATCAATAAGAGATAGATGAAAGATCAGTACTACTATTATTATTTAATAATTATTAAATCTAATAATCCAGCAATAATTAACTCAGTAAATCTTAATGCTATTAGAGAATTATAATGAAAATCTAAGTATACAGTTATAATAGTTTTGTATTTTATTTGTAATGAAGCATTGTTATGTGTTCTTTCTTGTTCTTTTATAAATTAAGGTGGCTGGTGAAGTTTCTAATCATTTATATAAAGTTTGGAAGAAGGTTTGTATCTAGACAAGCTGTGTAAGGAACTGTTACTTCAAGTCTCAAACTATTCCTTGGGATTTTGAAAAATGGTATTAAATTGCAGTTTCGCGACAATATATTAGAATGTGTTTTTCTGTGCAAAACAGATTTTTGAGCATATAGGAAGTCTTGCTACACAATAGACTGGGATGAATACATTATAATTACAATTTAGAACACAATGACGTTATCAACCTGGTTTAATCCAAATCATAGCCAACCAAAGTATTAACTGTACTGCCAAAAATCAAAATTAAATTCTTATTGTTCTTTTATGAATGAATAAAGATCCCTCTCTTTCAAGGATATGTAATGGTTAGTAAAAGATTTAATGGAAAGGGTGTTAAATGCATTATAAGTTATTGTTTTACCATCAATTTGCACCTTATAATGATTGAATCAGATTCCTTTAATTTGATTTATAATCCACCTTTTTGTTCTAGTGAGCACTGGATGCAGCTACAAAAAATGTTTTGATCAATGAAACATTAATGTGGATGATATTGAATAATATTTTTGCTTAATATGGACTCATATAATATATATGGGCACACACATGTATAAAAACCAATATCAGTTATAATATAAATGTACATTATTTTTAATTAAAGAACACTTCTGTCCACATAAGAGACATATTGAATGACTGGAATGAAAAGTAATGAATCCATAACAAATTCCCTTGCATATTGAAAAAATATTTTGGTGTCATTAAATAGAATCACTTCCTGTTTTTTAAATCTCTTGTATCACATATTTTGAACCACAAATAAATTAATCAGGAAACAGCTTTTTTATAATGCACCTATTGGCTCAGTATATCTAGTTTGAGCTATATTCCTAATAAAATATCTAATTATTAAATTTTTTATAACTGTGAAGCTAATTAATAATAAGGAACGAAAGTTTATTTAAAGCTGAATGCAAAGATTCAGTTTGGTAAATGATTCAGATCATTTGAATTCATTAATGAAGCCAAATAAGTCTGGTTTCTTGAGTCAAGGTCTCAAATTCAGAATCAGAACCAATTTGCATGCTCTTAATATTTTTATTATCAGTAATAACTATCATCTACAATCTGACATGTAATAATATATGTAAAGGGAATTTATTTTAAATTAATTTAATTTGGTACTTATTCAGGTCATGTGTTGGGAAGTATCTCTCACATAATAACATTGTGAATTGTCACTAAACTGCAATAAGCCTGAATTCCCCCTAGTGATGTGATCCGTGATGTTATTCCTTCAAACACAATTCTAATCTTTCACTGCTGTAAAACTAACACACACTGTCACCCCACTAATATTAATGTATTGTAGTTTTATATTTTATCTTGTACTGTTTGTGACTGTCCTGGTTGGTTTTAGCTTTTATTTTTATACTGGTGTTTTTATAATTTCTCATTATCTATAATTCAAACACATTTTAAAATATTTTAAAATATAAGGTGGCAACTTGTGAAAGCATAGAATCTTTACAGCCAGAAGATTGTGGCTTTAACACTGCAAGGGTATCCCTAGGATTGGAGCCAGTGGAACAGCAAATCAGACTTAAGAAAGAGATCAAGAGAGAAAAGGGAAACTAATACATGTGCCATTGGGTAAAATAGAGGAAAATAGAAGTCTAGCTTCCAGGGATGGAGAAAAAGAGGAAATAAGTTGCCCAGCATCCTCAATAACCAGTAATCTTGGTTAAATCAGTACATCTCAAGTAGCTGGGAAGCATAGATCTGAAATTTGTTGTGCTGATCAACACCAGAGAAATTAGATGATTGGTCAAGGTTAGTATGCAGCCTCTTCTTATTTTTATGACTTTACTGGCAAGAGAAAGAGGACAAGCATTAATTTATCATTTATAAATGGACTATCATTTTAATTCTCCCTTTCCTGGCCATCTTGGATAGAATATATGGAACTTGGTTTCCATTAACATGTAGAGGTTTTTCTCTCCCTGGTTCTTGTATAATGGTATACTTCTCTGGAAAAAAAATAACCCTACTTCACGATATAATAAAATTCTTAGTTTTAGAATCAATGCTGTTGAATTAATTTCTTTATAAATGCATGTAATAATTATCTGAAGCAATGACACTGTTATTCTTGATTTGTAGGAATAGAAAATAAGTGTAGTAGTTCTGCTTTGAGTTTGCCATCAGATTTCGATATTTGAGAAAATACCAACCAATAGGGTATAAACTACTTTTGAGAGCCAATTTATAGATGGGGTCTGTGAGGTTATCATCTCAAAAGACCTCATCAAGGTACTATACCGAATCCTGGAAAATCTAAAAATGTATCCATACCTTCAACACATATGGGGCAAAAGCAGTATCATACAAAGTACAGAAGTAAAAACTAGAAAACAACATAAATTAAATGCAAAGACAAAATATAGCCTAACACCATGTTAAACTATATTTCCGGGGGGGGGGGAAATTCAGGGGGAAAAACATCTCTACATAACTTGTTAACCTTGCAAAACCATCTTTGCCTCCTCCTTGAGCATGCATTCCTTTATGCACTGCTTTTTGTTATTTAAACTTTTCCTCCTTCTCTTTCTCAGAATCCCATCATCGCTGTCAAGGCAGAACTTTTTTAGTCTTCTCTTTTGTTTCTGAGTTCATTCACATATTCTTCACATATTCATACCTAAACCATCCCATTGACTTTTTTTCACATTGGTCAGTCATTTTTATATTTACATAATTTATTTCCATTCATCATCTATTCATTTTTGACCCTATATGACATGTGCATGCTTCAAAACTCACTCATTGCCACCACATTCACATTATTTTTTTGTTTCTTGTGACATAGCTAAGTATCACTTCCAGGAACAAAGACAGAGCACACAATTATATATCTTGATTTTTACTTACTTTGACACACATTCACTCGTGTCATCAAACTACATGTTACTTGTTATTTTCCTAAAAGAATATCCACATCCTCATCATTAATAAACATTTATCTACTTGTTCCAGTTTATGTATAACTTGTGTGTGTGTTCAAATATACACACACATTCACATTTCCTGCTAACATCATCACCACAAACATTCTTTGTACATTGATCCATAAATACATTAAATAATCCTTGTTTTTCTCTCTCTCTAACTACTCAATGTTTAATTATTTTCTAAAAATGCAAATTCATTCATGTTATACTTCCATCATATACTACTCTTAAGCCATTTAGCAATAATCCTTCATTTTTGTGAAAAAATCTATTATTTTATTCTACTTATCATATACTTTCTCTAAATCAAACTAATTTAATTATCTATCGTTTGTTGGAAAAGCAAAAAGTACCATTCAGCTTGTACTTCTTTCAATCAGAATTTTGCCAAACCGATTAATTTTTCAAGCTGCTTCAGGGGAAAATATATTCAAAATCTGATTCCAATCTTACTTCTGGCCTCCCAGCTTCAACCTGGGAATTAGATTACTGGATTCACTGTCAAATCTATTTGTAATAAATTAAAGTGTGAACAAGGTGAAAGATCCAGTAAAACTGAGTTGTAGTCCCACTAGGCATGATGGCTAACTAGGTGGCTTTGGGCCAGTCATTCTTTCTCAGCCCAATTTACCTCACAGGATTGCTGTTGTTGGGAAAATAGGATGAGAAAGGACTATTGGTATGTTCACCATCTTGTGTATTTTTCCTAAACTTTGTAAAACAATGATGGATGCTACTGGGAGTGAAAAGTGAACAAGGTCAACCTCACATTGAGACTGATCATCAGATGGCAATTAGTACATCAAGCAAGATTTTTTTTTTCTCCTGGTATACCTAAACAATCATCTTCATCTAAGGGAAAATGATAATAATTGAGCATTCTCTGTAACTGCTTCTCTTTGGAGTAGTTTTTCCTCCATATTTCATATGGCTCCCACTCTCATAGCTTTCCAGAAGCAGAAAAAAAATCTTTATATTTAGCCCCTACTTTATATAATTCTAGCTTTTATTTTATTCATTATTTTAATAACCTTCATTCCGATTTTGCAGTCTGTTTTATTCTGCAAATTCTATAAACTGCCCAAACTCTGCTTCTTCATTAGCAGGCATATAAATAAAATAAATAAATCTGTCTATGGTGTATGTATTCAACCTTGTGACATTTTTGCTTCATGTGGGGGAACAATAACAGTATACTTCTAGTCATCAAGCACAGCTACAGACTTGAGATACATGCTGAACAATCCTCTCCTTAAGCAAAAATATTTTAACACCTCTCCAGTTACATATTTTAACATGTCTCCAGTTACACTGTCAACATATGCATCTTTAAATTATTTTAACTTTCTCACAATATTTATCATTATTTTCATCATTTGGTTTTGATATTAACATTTGCAGAATTCATTTCAATTCCACTGTTTGACATACCACCATGCTAATCTCTCATATACTTTTCCCATCATTCTGAAATAATATTTTTTTCTTAATTATATTCACTATGCTGGAGGACCCTTGCATAGTCCTTTCTATCCACTTCCTTAAAAAAAATTCTAATTCTATTGTAATTTTTTTTTGCACTTGCACTGTCTCTTTTATCCTAATAATTTGTTGACAACTATATTTTCTGCTATATATACATTGTATAATCTGATTGTTTCTAATCGTGGTGTTATTTGATTTGTTTTTTACTCAACTTTTATTGTGATCAGTCAAGAGTCATTATGTCCTTTTCCTGGTGAAAACAATAAATAATTATATTCTTTAAGATCTACTAGTGTCCTATGCTACTTGTTCAACAAAATGTAGATTTAGATGTGTCTTATTTAACAGACTTACATATGATTTTCTGGAAGCTTAGAAATGAGTCTGTCTATCACTAGTTATCTCAATAAAGATCTTATAGGCATGAAGTATAAACATATAAACTATAAACCTGATTAAGTGGGTGCTCAGTGTGTTTATGGAAGAAATATCTCTATTGTCTAATTTTAGCATTTGTAGTTTTGCCTCCCAAAAGTGATTTCATTGATCTGCTCTGGCTGTGGCTATAGGCTGATCCTTGAGGGATCTGCTCTAATGGTTAATCATAAATTGGATAAATGACATTTTTCACTGTAAGTTTTTGAAAACATTTGTTTTTTCTGATTTCTCTCTTTAGGCCTTGCTCCAGTTTCTCTTCTGACTCTTAAAACCTAGAAATAATGTTGACAGATTAATTGCCCTTTCTTATGTAGTTTCCCTATTTGCTAGGTGACAAATGGTTATTCAACCTGTTTATATCTGAGTCAGATCTTTAAAAATTCACCCACTCACTGAAATATGGCATTAATGAAATCATGGTATTAATCTTCAAAGCAAATATAAGTCATGGAAAATTATTCCTTTCATCTGAACAAAAAGACCTCCAGTCCTGTTATTTGTATTAGTAAATAACCTTAATAGAGCCTCCCCTGCCAATGTAAATAGTGCCTGGAGTGGATTTCCCTTATCTACTATAACCAAGAAGAGCCGAGAATAATCACTTTTCCCCCTAATGCTACTCGATCCTCCCTGAAGCTGGTGTTTACACTGCAAAAAGAATAACTGACTAATAATTGCCAACTATAGTATACTGTAGTTCCTCTGTTACAATTCCATTAAACTCCAATACCATTAAACTTGAAGATGAAATTATGCAAGGTTGATTTTATAACTATGCCATTCCCATTTTGTAATTTCAAATTTCAATTTACACAACTAGTGTCATGTTCCATTGAAATTCTTCAGGACCAAATCATTTATAATGTTCTGTAAATATTAGTCAAGACCCTCAGGTTGGGAAATCACCGCTCTTTTTTTTATTCAGCTTCAGTTTTCCCACTCAGCTTCAATTTCCCAAGTGTCATTGATCAGTGATCATTTTATTAATTCCATCATTAGAATAGTCAAGGAATCACTGCTTTCAAAGAGAAGAAAATAATTAGTGATTATGCCTGTTACTTTGCAACTTTGCAACTTTAATAAGATTTGTATGCCACCCACTCCCTAGGGACTCTGGGTGGCTCACAACAAAAGCAAAAACATAGAATATTAAAAGTACAATTATTTAAAATAAAACCATCCATTCAATCATGTGGGGCTGGATTTTAATCAACAGCCCCAGGCCTGCCGGAACAGCCAGGTCTTGGTCGCTTTACGAAAGGCCAGGAAAGTGGTAAGGGTCCGGATCTCTGCGGGTAGCTCGTTCCATAAGGCTGGCGCAGCTACAGAGAAGGCCCTCCCTCGGGGGGCTGCCAGCTGGTATTGTCCGGTCGATGGCACCCGGAGGAGGCCCAACCTGTGTGATCTTATTGGTCGTTGGGAGGTAAATGGCAGGAGGCGGTCTCTCAGGTAGCCAGGTCCAATACCATGTAGGGCTTTGTTAGCATACTCTTAGTGTGTTTTTTGAAAATCAGGTTTTCGTTTTCCATTTTCAAAAGATTCATTAAAAAGACAAAAGCAACATGTAAAATTCATGTATTCTAAGATAAAGTAGTTCTGGTAACTAATATGCAACTAACATCACTCCCTTATAATCAATCCCATTTCAGCAGTGTATTTCATGTAACTAATTGTGTTGATAATCCATCATCTTGTAGATTGGTAGTTTCAAATATGTCTGGTCCATGCCTTTAGTATCTGTTATGGCTGCTGTTTTAGTCTGCTACAGTGATATGAATCATAAATAAAATTTCCACAACAGATCCATAATACACATTCATTTGTATAAAGACATTTTCCTAACGTTACTGGTTAGCAGTCATATATCCAATTTCTTCTATATAGATTGGAATTTGGAATTCAAACCGTGGCCTTAATATGACTAACAGCAATAAAGACCGGTCTACCAATATAACAGATTCACTAGCAAATCGGACACTCATAGTCACCACTATTTTGGTAAGTTCTGCCATATTTTCTGGTTAGTTTTCTTTGCTTTTCTTACAGGTAATATTTGCTTTGCTGACAGCCTATATGTATTTTTTTAAAAGACATTTTTTTATTAATCACAAACTTGTATTACAGATGCTCTCATTACAATGTACTGTAGTACTAGCATCACAAGAATTGGGGATTTAAATAGTGTAAGCATAAACCCTTGTAGATGTCACACATACAATTTAACAGCACATATACTCTGAGGTAATCATCTAAATCTTGTCACAGATGAAATTCTTCTATATTTTATAAACCCCATATTTCTGAAGCAACTGTTCCTATTTTTCTTCCTAACTTCATTATGTTTCCAAACAATTTTAGCCAAGTTCACTTATTTGTTTAAAGCAAATGCATTATAACATAGGAGTGTTTGAGTATATGATGAAATGTGTTTGTGTTTTATTTAAAAGCCACGTTTGAGAAACCAATCTTGAGAAGAAAATGAAAAGAAATAGATGTGTCTATATTCTACCTCTGAACAATAGTGGGTATACACTATATATAAAATTGAGGTTGACAGTCTGATGCCCAGGAATATCACTGGTTGCTATGTCCCTTTAAAAACCAACAAAGAATGTTAAGATGGTCAATAACTCATAAATTACCTAATTCTTGAAAGATTTTCCTATATAGTATGCTTTCGTTAGACTTTGGCTATTTTAGAATTTAACTATTTTATTTAATAACATTTATTAAAATGTTTTAAACATTGCGTGAAATGACTCAATGGTATCTTGGTCCTAAAAACATATAATCTACTGCATTGTCAAGATGAATCTATCTAAAAGAGCAAGTTTAGATCTTTCATGAAAGATCAGCAATTCTTAATTACTATTATTTTCTTATCACTGGAAGAACTGACAAATTAATGTAGGATTTTCCATGTTATTTACCAGGGTGATATGGTTGCACCTTAATGTGAGTGAATGACCACATGCTGCTGCATCTTGGGCAGCAGTACATGCTAATATCACAATAATAATATTAATCTTAGAAAATATTATCTCCGTGTTTCCTATTTAATTACCTGCTCCATACACTGTACAACTAGGCAGGAAACCTCAAGGTGGTTTTGAGTATGGAGTTTTCCTCTTATTTAGCAACTGTATGATTTAGTACATCCTAAGTTTTTCAGTTGTTTGTTTTTAATGTGTGAACGAATATATTGAGCAGTGAATCCTTGCACACTGGTTTCCTTTTTACTATCTTAATCAGATTTAGCTATGTGATGATCTCAGAAAACAAATCAAGCTAGATTTGTTTTACTGTTTTACATAATTGATTGAGATAAAATGTTGAAATTAAGCTAAGCATTTGTACATTTTAGCATATGACTAATCTTTTTCTGTTTTCAAAAATAGCTTTACAAATGTCTTATGTATTTTTATATAGGAAGATCCCTATGTCATGTACAAGAAATCTGACAAACCTCTCTATGGTAATGATAGATTTGAAGGTTACTGCCTGGATTTATTGAAGGAGTTATCAAATATTTTAGGCTTCATCTATGAAGTAAAACTAGTATCTGATGGAAAATACGGAGCCCAGAATGACAAAGGAGAATGGAATGGAATGGTTAAAGAACTCATAGATCATGTAAGATTGAATTGTCATCTTGGTCATTCTTTTCAGCTTGCATTGATCACTAACAGAAACATATAAACTACTAGACCTCCATACTTCTTTTTCCTCTATAGATTAAGTACATTTGATGCAAGAACAAAATTAGAATGGAGAGATTTTTTCACAGAAAGTCTACAATCTTAATTCCCTTACTATGAGCCAAATTATCATGTGATAATTAGTAAAGCAGGTATTTAAGAATTCTGAACATTCTGCACCCCTTAACTACAGATATAGAAGGAAGAAAAGGCTGATGGCCACTTTTCTTCTAATTTTATTCACATTAAAGGTTTATATTCCTTGCTTCTCTAGATCAGAGATGATCAAAACATTGTCCTTCATATCTTGATAGACCACGACTCCTATCATCCATCAATTTTGACCGTGATCCTTATAGTTGAGTTAACATTTGGGAAGGAGAGGCTATACTCACTCACTGAGCATAATGTTTTGCATTGGCTCATTCTGTACAACATGAACATTATGTACTGTTAGAACACAGACGAAACAGCCAACTAATATATGGACTAGGAGGCATGAAAAACTGTAGAATCAAATCTAAGTAAATTACACTTTAAATTTATATTTCTATAAGAAGATTTCTCTTGAAAAACATCACTTTTGGAATCTCTCAGAGTTTCACTTTTCCTATTACACTTAATGGATTCTGAATACTCATTGTTTACCAAGGGCACTTCATCATAGCAGCTCAAGAGCCACCTAAAAGGATGAAGCATTAAATCATTTACAGTAATCATAAAAATACATTATTTACAAAGCATTCTTGCGCTATATGTTTTTGAATAAATAAAAAGAAGATAAGTGTGTCTTCTGACTGTTTTTCTGAAAGTAAGATTCCCTAATACAATGGAACTTACTGCTGAATAGACATGTATACAATAATGTTGCACATTTCTGTTCCTTTCTCAACAACCTTTAATGAGAAAAACATTTTTGTTTGAAATTTATTGACCTATACTGGTGCTTGAGAAAGTAACTGACACAATAAAAATATGTTTATTTGTTTCTACAGTGGAAATGAGTAGATAATTCTTCAATTTGTATTCCCAGAAAGCTGACCTGGCAGTTGCTCCCCTCACTATTACCTACGTAAGAGAAAAAGTAATAGACTTTTCAAAGCCATTCATGACGCTGGGAATCAGTATTTTGTACCGGAAGCCTAATGGCACAAATCCTGGGGTTTTCTCGTTTCTAAATCCTCTTTCTGCTGATATTTGGATGTATGTGCTGCTAGCCTGCCTGGGAGTCAGCTGTGTGCTCTTTGTCATTGCACGGTGAGTTTAAAGGCCCTACTTGTGTAATAGCAAAACACATGCATTCCTCTGAGTGATACCTCTGGGCATGTAAATTATTCTTGGTTCAAAAATGATAATCTAGTTACATTTTCTGCATCTCTACCCTCTAATAATCTGAATCTACCAAGCTGAATATTGTAAAAGCAAATAATGGAAGGGAAAGAATTTGGGAAGCTATTGGAGTGGCTGCAATCTATGCAGAAAGAAAGGAAAGAGACCTGCTGGATCAGTGACAGTAACTAGTTCAGCTTTCATTTCCTGCCAGGGACAAGAAGGCAGACAACTGAAGGTTCAGTTGATTTCTTTGTACCCTTTTCTGGGTTCCCTTCTTTGTATTGGCTAGTTTTTCAGTTTAACAGTTAATTTGGTGGTTTTCAAATTATATTCCAACGAACCCTTAGATTCTCTGGATCAGGAGTCCCTAACCTGGGATTGCAACCAGGCCGTGTAAACAGCCGGTGAGCGTGCACCCGCCCACATGCACACATCCTCATTTGCACAAGCAGTCGGCAAGCGCATGCATGCACACACCATTTATAAGAGTGGCAGGCACACATACATGCCACATGTGCAAATGGAGCTCCGTGTGCACAGATGTGCTTGCCAGCTGTTGGTGCAGAACCATCCCCTCTCAATCCCACACTGGCCTGCAAAGCAGGAAACGTTGGAGAACTCTGCTCTGGATGGATGACAGATATTTCTAACCCAAAGCCTGAGAGATATCCCATGGTAATAAGGCACATTGTGATCTTGTGATCTTTCATATTTGGTCTAACTATTCTTGCCTCTCATAACAGAAAAGAACAAATATATCATGCCAGTCCAGGTGGAAGATGTTTGTATAATCTGTCTCTGTCTAGCTTTGGCACTTTTTTTCATTGCTTCTCCCTACATACCCCATGTTCCCCTTAAGAGAGAGGGGGGGGAGGGAGGGAGGGAGGGAGATGGAGAGAGAGAGAAAGAGGGAGGAAGAGAGGGAGAGAGAGAGGGAGAAAAAAAGAGAGAGATCAGGCAGATTTTTTATCCTGATAAACTGTCTGTAGAACTTTTAACAAAATCTCCAGCAATGCAAAGTCCATCTTGAAAATGTATTGCTATGGACAGATTTTCAAAGATTAAAAGTTTGAAAGCTACTGAATAAATATGGATAAATAATTTTAATAGCACTGAAGTGATTGTAAAAAGCACAGGTACTATCAAGCTGTTATTTTTTGGCAGACCAAACTGCATATTTCATGTAAGGCAATGAAAGAACAGTTGTAACAAAATATCTCAGACCAATATTCTGTTTAGCATTATGTGTCAAAAGCAAGGCATGTAGTGAATTAATGCCTTGATTTTCATGCAAATCTGATACAATGCTCTTGAAAACTACCATTTGCAGCAATAAATGCTTATGAACGATGCTCACTGTACTGTGAATCAGATTTGACTATTTGTAAATCAACAACTTTGGAATGACTAATAACCATCTGATCATCATTGCCAGATTTTCCCCCCTGGGTAATGAGACAAGACTGAAAACTATTCTGTTTTCCCACTGTGAGAAAGATGGATAAAAATCGGTTACCTGGAACCTTTGCTAACAAGGGCTTGATTCCACATTGAAGAAGTCTAAAATGAATAATAATCTCAAAAGGTTGCCATGCCAATTTGCAGAACATTTTGGACATCTAAATTGCTTCTTACAAAGTGTGTCCTGGCAAAGATAGGAATTTTCCAAATAGACATTTTTTCATGGCACGGGCATGAAAAGTATTCATTAAAAGCTTCACTTGCCATGTTTCTGAGTGGGTTTGGGGATATGCAAATACTGGCCAAAAAATAAAACTGGTGTATCTAGTGTTTTCTTTCCTTTCAATAATGGATACAGTTTTGATCATTTTACAGTTTTCATTAGATGAGAAAGGTATTCAGTGAGGCCCAACTAGAAGCATTCACACTCTTTTCATTCTTATTTCTAAATGTTATTTTTAATTATCTTCATAGTTAAAATATTTGTGCTTATATTTCTATGGTGTAGCTACAAAACCAAACAAGGCAGCTTTTGTTTATGATACTTTTATTCAAGGATTTTTCTGTCACCAAGTTTCTTAGTTTATTTAATAGCCTCATCCTTCTTGTGGAAGCTGTTTTCTAAAGGTCCTTCATTTCTAGCCCTTTATATGAATTTGGAATTCTGTTTATAGAAAAATGTATCGAGAAATAGAAAATAAAAGTATACTAATAACAAATATATCTTTGGCATATACATTTTTCTACTGATTGCATATTCAAATGATATAAAATCAGGAACCTTCTACTCATAACTCCAAATTGCCTTTACATTTCATTTTACATAAGGTTGTCATGATTGTAACTGATTAATAGGCTCTACTATGGAGAATAAATGAGTAACTGAAATTAGTTTTAAAAAATAGAATTAGAAATATTTTTAGAAGATAGAATTTTAAAACAGCAGAATTAGAACATACAAGATGTATTAGCAATTTGAGACAACAATTGATGATGTACTTAATGCCTTGAACTACAAGTGAAAGTTAGAATTCATTTTACATCCTACACCCAATGCAAAGCTTCATGCTGACATTTTCTTAATACCGCCAAAAGAAATTATATATACATAATTTTGTGCACAGCTGCAACTGGTGACTTCAGAATTAGTTAATCCAATTTTATTTTTCTTCCATAACAATTTCAATAAAATATGTTAACGTCCTCAGGCTTTCACTAGACTGAATAAAAGAAAGATAACTGGATTAGGCATCATATTTAAAAGCTGTTCGCATAATATTATTTGTTTTATTTTTTATTTTCTGCAGTTTATAAAAATAATGATTTGTTTTTAAATAAATAAATAAATAATGTATTTTACATTTTTAAAGCTAGGAACAGGAACAATTGATAGGGAAATATAACCTGTATAAAAAGTCAGCACCTACATGAATTTTGTTTGATATTTTTACTAGGCTTCAAAATGGCAAAGAGGCATTTTTTGGGGGGGTATAGTTGGATAGTTATCCATTCCATCCTTCCAGTTTGCTGTTAGAAACCAGCTACAACATGTGCACTGTAAATATTATAAATCATTTGGAGATACCCTACAATCTAAAATTTTGCATAAGTATGGCATAGGTTGGTATGAACTGCAGTCAATTTCAAATGTAGATCCATAGCTGATTTAATTGGCAAGCTAGGAGGTTGGGTGCCTTCCAAAGATGAGGTGACTTAAACTTTCTAAATTCTTAAGTTATGGCAATGGTAACTGAGGACTGAAGGCCCCAAAGTTCGAAGACTGCAATAAAATATGTATATATGCGTAATAAAAATAGATGGTCCCCATCCCTTCAAGCCAACATTACACTTTGGACAAGAGCAGAATAATTCATAAAATACTATATTGTAAAATGATAATTTCAATATAATTTGAACTTGGATGTTTTCACTGACTACTTAAAAAGCTGCTGGAAAGAGGATTGGTTAGGCATGGAAATTCCACAACTATTTTCCAACATCTACTATGGTTTGCTTTGTTTTATTTTGCTTTGTTTTCTTCCTTTTTTTGTTTAAAGTCACTTAGTTGAGTTGGGTGCCTATAGAAATTAAATCTACGGTGGCTCAGTGGCTAAGACGCTGAGGTTGTTGATCAGAAAGGTCGGAAGTTCGGTGGTTCGAATCCCTAGCACTGTGTAATGGAGTGAGCTCCCGTTATTTGTCCCAACTTCTGCCAACCTAGCAGTTCAAAAGCATGTTAAAAAATGCAAACCATAGAAAAATAGGGACCACCTTTGGTGGGAAGGTAACAGCGTTCTGTGCACCTTCGGCATTTAGCCATGCCAGCCACATTACCATGGCTCTTTGGCTTTAAAACGAAGATGAGCATCACCCCTAAAGTTGGGAATGACTAGTGCATATGTGCGAGGGGAACCTTTACCTTTTACCTTTACCTCAGAAATTTAGAAAATATAGATAGATAGATAGATAGATAGATAGATAGATAGATAGATAGATAGATAGATAGATAGATAGATAGATAG